TTTTTTTTTTTTTTTTTTTTTTTTACTGATTCTAATTTGCATCCTTTCCCTGTAATAAACTATAACTATGAATATAACAGATTTTCTGAGTCCTGTGAGTCCTTCTAGCCAATCACTGAATCTGAGGGTGGCCTTGGGATCCTATAATCTCCATTCCAACATGATAAATCCCTTGGATGGGGCTGTGTCAGTTACCCTGAATTTTAGAGGGCGTTAGGGGTACTCATTACCCCTCCAACAAGGACAAAGAGCCATGCTTACTTTGGAAGGGAGATTTTCTGAAATCTCTTTGTGCATTTCTTCATCCTCTACGTCGATTAGAGGTTGACCTAGAGATTCGGTTCTCAGTGACACACGCTTAGCTGCAAAAACATCAATCAAAGTGTAAGAGAAAATCATCCGAAAATTAGGTTTCCTACCATCAAGGGCAGCCCTGCATTTCGTGCACCAGTGCATTTCATTCAAAAGGCAAGTTATCAAACAGCTGTGCATACCTTCTGCTCCAATCAATCCGATTGTGGCCTTGACTCGCATTGTAATTGACAAGAATTGTGTTTCATTTTTGACAGGGTGTCCATCAGAAATTTAACATGTTTGTGTCTGCGTTTGCTCAGGTACAGTGTCCACCTTGTGACCCTGTGACTTCTCTGAGGTTTTTTACTTAAAAGGGAATTTATCATAAAGATAAGAATTACAGGCCAGGCTAAGTGGCTCACACCTATAATCCCAGCGCTTTGGGAAGCTGCAGTGGGTGGATCACTTGATGTCAGGAGTTCGAGACCAGCCTGGCCAACATGGCAACACCCTGTCTCTACTAAAAATACAAAATTTAGCTGGACGTGGTGGTGCGTGCCTGTAATCCCAGCTACTCAGGAGGCTGAGGTGAGAGAATCACTTCAGGCCAGGAGGTAGAGGTTGCAGTGAGCCAAGATTGTGCCACTGCAGCTTGGGTGGCCGAGCAAGACTCCATCTCAAAACAAAAAAAAGAATTACTGCTAGCACGTTAGCATTTACTTCTTTTTCACTATGAGATGCAAAACTTGTGACGCACGAGAAGAAAAACAGTCTAAATGAAATGACGCATCTGTCTCAAGTCCACTCTGATTGATGCAGATTCAGAAACCTCAGCAGACACCAAGTCTCAGCCCTCAGAACATCCAACAGGCCCGATGATTAGAGAAAGGAGCTTTCCCTGGGAGCTTTCCCTCACTCTCACTTTGAAAGGCACTGTGCTGGCTGGGCGCGGTGGCTCAAGCCTGTAATCCCAGCACTTTGGGAGGCCGAGACGGGAGAATCACGAGGTCAGGAGTTCGAGACCATCCTGGCTAAACCGGTGAAACCCCGTCTCTACTAAAAAATACAAAAAACTAGCCGGGCGAGGTGGCAGGCGCCTGTAGTCCCAG